CTGTGCTGGGCTGCCTGCTGGCCTGGCTTGGGTTCTGCTGCTCAGCTCCTGGGCCCAGCTTGGCCCCAGGCCCCCCGGCCTCGCCACGAGCCCAGGCTCTGGTGCTGGGCCGCGAGACGCCCCGAGACCCGGCACCTGCCCTTTCCTGGAGTCCCGCCCCCGCAGGGTTTGCTCTGGCCCCTCCTCCAGAGCGGCAGGCTCTAGGGTGTGAAGGGCCAGTCGTCTAGGCCCCCCCATCAGAATGAGGCCGTGGGGGGCACTTGAACGCAGCCGCCCTGGGCCTGCCGGGGGGGGCACAGCCCCTGGAGCTGCTGCTCTCGCACCCCTTCACGGGGGCATTGGCCCTTGGGTGCTGCAGGCCGGTTCCCCCTCGTCGGCACTGCCCTCCGTGTCCTGGCTCGGCTCCCCGCCCGTGCCGGCTGCTGGCCCCAGGATGTCCTAGGCTCAGGGGCCGGCCCGCAGCTTGCTAGGGCATAACAGCTGTGGGGCTGTGCACCCGGCCTGCCCCAGCTCTGCTCCCTGGCACCAAGCGGCAGCCTGCAGGCAGCTTGCTGCTGTGTTGTAGTGCAGCCCCTCAAATGTTCCTGAGAATTGCCCCAGCTTCTGCCACGTTTTTGCGTTCCGCTCGCTCGCTGGCGGGCGAACTGCTGCCAGTTAACACCCCCTCCCACAACTACCCCACCCCAGCCGGCTCCTGGCTCTCTTGCAGCCTGCTCATCTACTGCTCTGGCTGCCTATAACACCCCCTCCCACAACTACCCCACCCCAGCCGGCTCCTGGCTCTCTTGCAGCCTGCCCATCTCCCTGGCCTGAGGCCTCTGCCCGCCCCCGCCAGCCACCCTCTCCGCTCTGACTCTGCGAGGGGCCTTTGCCTGGCATCATACGAGCCCGACATCTGCGCCTTGCTGGGCGCTGCCCCTCGGGAAACGTGGCACCAGTTCCAGGCCATACCACGGGGCAGAGCCAGTCCAGTTTGAATTCTATTTTCCAGGACGGTTTTGTGAAACACTGTATCAAAGGTTGTACTAAAATACAGATATCTTACAGCTACGGATTCCCTTTGCCGCGGCCATCGCCCGGCCCAGTCACACAAGCTGGGAGCTGGCTCCCTCGGTGGAGCCCTGGCTGGGAGCTGGGGGCTGCTGCCTTCTTGGTTCTAGCAGCTAAGTTGCTTTAAAAGAAATGTGTGAAGTCACCAGCGGCCTCCTGTTGCCGTCGCGGCGAAGCACTAGCCTCATTGCTCCCCTGTGCTGCTGCTCAGGGAGAGGCGCTGGGCGGTGCGGTCAGAGAGAAGCGTCGAGCTGAGCCTACGCAGTGGGCATTTGCGAAGCCCTGTGCTAGCTGGCTGTGGGTTTTGCTATGGGTTGGTCTGGCAGTGGAGGAGAGGAGACACGGCCAGTCAGGACTGCACTGTTCCTGCCCGAAAATTCACCGCTACGTTGGGTTTTCTTCTGCTCTCCCCCCTCCCAGCGGCCCAGGCTC